ACAAATAAGACATTTAGTTCATTCATGTAACTAAATGTACAATAGAAGTAATGTTCAGTTCTCATTGCAACTTTGAATGAAGCCAAGTTTCAAAAGCTCAAAATACTTAGTAAAACAAAACTTTTCTTCTGGGCACAGCTCTAGTAAATTAATTTAAGCAGGCTTTGGGATAGGCCTAAAAATCAGGTAAAAACAAAAACTGTTATTAAATCAATTTGACTCAGACAATAAGTCTTCTACCCCACTGAACTGGGACGTTAGGTACCTAGGTTCTGTCCTTGGATCACTATTTCTGTGTTATATGTGACAGATCTCAGGAGAAGTGAGCCATGGTCTTGCAAGCCCCCCACACTAGCCAGCTAGAAGAAAGCAGACATCAGATAAAATGGTTGTGGAGCAACTCAATATTTTCTGTGTGACCTGGGTAAGTCACTTATCCTTTCTGAAACAAAGTTCCTCATAGCAAAATATTTCTCTCTCTCACAGACAAGGGGAATTAATTCAGTTTACATGGTGTTCTTTGATACTACACTAATAAGCATCATGGATAAGCCTATAAATAAAAGTCTGAATTCAAATGTTCAAAATCAAAAGTGTTTACATTTTGCCACAGGATTAAGAAAAAGCATGGACAAAATCTACTCTTAGGGCTGTATGATTTTTTCAGATCAATTCCAGACAGATGTTCAGCTTTCTCTGCATGCATGGAGCTGCCACTGTTATCATTCCACTCATGTAGGAAAAACACCACATCCGAGTCAGACGCTGTTGTGCAGCCTGAAGAAGAAATTTTTACCAACAAAATTAATCTGTGTTTACTTCTCATAGGCCTTTCCTAGTTCCTTTTTTAAAAAGTCCCATGAAACAATTAAGGATTATTAAAGGATGTATTCCTCATTGTCACTGACAAAGGGAGCTTCATGGGATATCTCACTGTTGACATGATCTCCTTATTTATCATTTAAAAAGGAACATATTTTAGGTCAAAAAAATATTTCTTTGTAAAAACCATGTCAAATTATAAAGTAAAAACAAATTCAGAATACCATGCAGTTCCTGTACAAGAGTGACAGATCAGCATTTGTGTTCATTCTGAAAGTACTGGTTTTTTGAAGACCCAGCGTGCCACAAAGGGGGTCAGTTAGTAGGATAGGAGAAATAATGAGTTCGAAAAAAGAGATTCTTGATACGTTAGCATTAGAATATCCTTTTAGTTCCTGCAGTAAAAAAACATAAAAAATGAAGCAGTTTCTAAAATTCTGCCAGGAACAGTTAAATGAGAGTAAATCTTGCACAGTCACAGCACCTGAATGAACACCTCACTTTATGAGAAACATCTCTCAACTTGCCTACTGCTTTTTGAAAATGAAATTAAAAATTATTATAAACTGTTAGATGGTGTGCTTCATATTTAGTACTCACATTATACAAAGATGTGTTTCACTAATCTATCCCTATTATAGCATTGCTAAACCGGCAAGTACCTCAGCACTGTCAAACAACTCTTAATATTTTAGAAGTGTGAACACATCTTATTTTAGAAAAAATTGCCCAAACAAGGCCTAAATGATTACTTGTGCCTCATACAGAAAAAATTATTTATAAGAATCCATGAAGTACAAATGTTTGTTTTTACAAAGATTTTTCCCTCCTACTTCAAAAAAAACCCCCAAAACCCTCAAATGCTGGCTCTTTTTTAAGCATATTTATACCTTGGCTAAATCTTTCTCATACTATTTATATAATATAACTACTCCATAGGGACATATGCTGGAACTATTCCACACACAAGAAAACATTCTTCTATTGAGTTCAATGGGTATTTGGTATATGCAATAATAGCTAAGTCATGCCCTTAGGATGAATCTGTACACACCATAATGTAAGGCAAAATAACTCAGTTGAAGCACAGCATATCTGCACAAGTGAGCTCAGGATCAGACCTTTACAATCTGTTTATCAGGAAGTGATTATGTGTTATCTTTTTGATAACTCAGTGAGAACTATTAGCATGAGACAGATCAGTACAGTTCCAAGAGGAAGCTGTAAAAATGCATAGGAAAGGGGAGAATATATGTAGAGAAATACTCATAAGTACAAACTTTTGAACAATTAAAAGAAGTCGTGCTCAGGTCAGAGTGAAACAGCATTCTTCTACTGCTATCCATTCAGCTCCACTGATTCACAGCAGCTAAGAAGCTGGCTATGAGTGCACTAGTTAAGACCACCATTAATAGACTTACAGTGGACAATGGGTACCTAACCGTATGCTGAGAAAATCCCCAGATCTGTTTAAGTTGCTGGCATAATAGGCCAATCTTTATATGAGGGTGAGTAGAAACATGGCAGCAGTCAACCTGGCAAAAAAATAATCTTCTTAAACATCAGCCATTAAACATGTCTTGTTTCAGCTATTTTACTCTTGTACATAGCCATTATGAACAAAGTAAAACCCAGCTATTCACTGACATTTCAGCATCCTGATCTCCCTCACAACACATCTAAGGAAAGCAAAGCAATGAAGGATATGTTTCTAAATGTGATACAGAATGCTATAGAACTGATAGCATCTTGTAAGCTTCCCTACAGACCATTCCAGCTTAGTCATTAAAATCTATTTCTCAGTATAAAGATCCAGTGTATATCCCATTTCCCATTACTAGACAGCATGTTGTGTTGCCAGCACAGAAGCTATGAAGCTATCAGACTGAGAGCAACCCAGGTAATGGTATAAGTAGTATCAGCTGATATTTACTCTGCTAGGTCTGGTGCAACCTTAATAAAGGTTTTAGATCATAAGGGCAATTTCTGCCTGCAATGGTCAAAGCATAATGCCCCTGGGTTGCAGGAAAT